AGAAACATCATGCACTAACCGTATTTGTAGTAGTGTTTTGGATTGATATTATTTTTCGTCGATTTTTTCATTGTATCGATAGTTTTTTTTCCCCTAAAACATTGCCGATATAAACCTGCATAGCATGCGCGTGAAACAAAAACATTTATTCCAGTCTGCAAGCAGACATTTTTTCGTAAGTAGAAAGAAATCATGCTAAATGGGATTTTATCATCGGATATGAAAAGATTTGGATTCGTACCATACATTATTTTTATAAAAATATCGATTAAAAGATGTCCGTTGCATTCGACTACAGCTTTCTCATAATCTAATATATTTTTTGCATTATTAATATAACTCTTTTCTTCCATTTTTTAAAACTAGCTTTCGAACTTAAGCATTATTGGAATGTTTAAGAGTATTTATTCTCGGCTCAGTAAAAAACATGTGACATTGTGCTAACAATTACAGCATTCGAAAGTTTTGATATTTCACGTTAGACGATTTTTAAAGAGATTTTCCATGAAGGAGAAAAAAAACTGCAGAAAAACTAAATGCAATTATCATGGTAAAAAACAGCCAAAAGAAGAAATAATAACCTTCCTTTCAAGCAATCGTCTGGAAATTTTAAAAAATCCATAGATGCAATGAAAACCTTAGCTAGAAATACTGTCAATCCATTGCGTGCATTGTTTTTGATGTTTTTATTTTATTAATTTCTGATTGTGTTTTTTTTTTATGTTCATAGTGTAGAAATGATTCTACACGCTTAAACAAAGCATTAAAATTTTTATTATTTGAACTGGACAGTCAAAATGAAAGCTTTTTATCTCAGATATACTTGATTTTACATTTACGAGTAAAACTTCATTCTAAAGTTAATTGCAAACATGTGTATTGAAGAAATAGAAGCAAATAAAATAGAATCAACTGCTTATGTTAAAATGAAATTATTTTCAAAGGAATTTTGTTATAACATTGTTGTGAAAAAACATTTGTGAGAATCTTGTAGATATAGTTTATTTGTGTCTCTCCGCCCTATTTAAGGGTAGATACATACACAAAACATACATTTAAAATACTTAAATCTCTAAAAGTTACATCAACAGCGAGTATAAAAATCAGAATATCTAAAATAATGATCAATACAATTCTATTAAACAAGTGTAAACCAATTAAAATAGTAAAGTAGTAAAAGGGTCAAAGAACAAAATCACCCAAAAACCAATAAATGTTAAAACTTTACAGAAGCATGCAAAAACAGTGATAAAATATTAGAAGTTAAAATTCGGTCTTGTAGATATGTAAAATTTGCGAGAAAGCAGATGTTTGATCTTGATAATAAATAATTCTAATTTACATTATTTAGAAAATTGGCCTTATTGTTTGCAAAGTATTTTTTGGAAATTTCGATAAAATTGTTTTAATAAGACTGCCAAAAACCTGTTTCTGCCTACTTTGCGCATTTTATAGTAAGAAATCTCTGTTTTTGTAAACTGAAAAAATTCTATCTTTAATTGCTAAAAATTAAATTATTTATTGTTAGTGTCTCAAGTTCAATTATAATATTTTGTTGACAATGAAAATGCGTTTGCTTTTTAAATTTTACAAGTTTCTGAACAAACTGGCAAAAAGTATTAATTTAAATTTAAGTGTTTCATAATTAGCATAGTTTTATCACAAAAGAAAACTGGTATACAGCTTTTAATGTTTTTACCGAGCTACAGCTTCACTTCAAAGTTTATTATTTGTTTCTTCCCATCTCTTCTATAAGTTGCTTTAATTGAAGGTATTCAATCGTTGGCATATAGTCAATTCTTCCTGATTTTCCTGAAGATTTTATTATTATATTTAAACAAATATTACATATAACTAATTATTATAGTTAACGAAACTTTTTTCTTTCTTTTTCATTTTTGAAGTATAAATTTGAATTAAAATTATTTAATATCCACTACAGAAAAATGAATAGAAAAAGTTGACAACGTAAGCATATTTTTCATAGTTTAATATTTACCCATTAATACCCAGTCTCGAAAATGCTGAATATGTTAAAAACACCCATAGAAAAAATTGGTTGTATTTATTAGTATGTGTAGTACTTAAATTATGTTTTCTTTTTCGATTCTTCATTTTATAAAGTGCATTTATAGTGATTTTAACCCCTTAACGCACAGATTTTTTGAAAAAAAACCGGCCAAAAAAAAGCAATAAATTTTTTTATGTAAGAAAGCAAACTTTAGAACATTGTATTTACTTTTGGTGGACAATTTTGATATACTGTGCTTTTGTTCCATGGGGAAAGACTATATTGAGAGATGCCAACTGCTCCGGATAAGCCAAAATAATTTAAAAAAACGTTAAATAACTGCAAAGTAAATTTTGCAAATATTTGACTATTTTTGCTTGCAGAGGTATAGCATGACATAAGTACTATTAAGTGGTGAATTATATAAACTTACAAATTATTTAGAAATAGTGGTGGATAAAAATCTACTAAATTGAATTTATTAAACCACGAATCACAATTGATAAACTACCACTTTAAAATATATATTTGCTGTCCGGAACAAGTTGGCATCTCTGTATATTTTATTCTTGAATAAATAAGTGTCATAGCTTACAATCCTATATAAATGATAAATATCGATATAAAGATTTTTTTTCTTAGCTTTCACATGGTTATTTTCAATTCTCGATTATACACGAGTGCGAAAAATTGTAGCAACATAAAGTACAACACCGCTCGAATTATCTCGAGTGTGCGTAGTTTGTCTTGTTTAGCTCGCTCGAATTAACTCTAGTGCGTTTAGGGGTTCACCACCATTTCAAATAAATTAATTATAAATAATAATATAAACAATATTAATCTTCCTATGCCTAGTTTCTAGCCTAAGAACTTCGTCCTCTACTGATTTCATCGATCTCATCTCAAAGGATCATCTAATTTATGATGATTGTGATTCAAGCCTCTACTCAATTTAGGAGTCCAGATCCACATAAAACCGAATAAATCTTTCAAGCTATGTCGAAAAATAACAGAGTTGCCAACTTGCTCCGGATTACTCAAAATATTTTAAAAAACGGTAAAGGGCTACAAACTATATTTTTGATTGCAATAAACTAGACTGCAGATTGTTGGTTAATTTTGCAATTTTTTCAATTAGCTCAACATGGCATAGCTGCGACAAAGTTGCCTATCGCATAATACTTTGAATTATTTGGATGTAGTGGCGAATAAGCACTCAATAAGTAGTATCTACTAAACAAATAATTATGCATTAAAAGACAACCACTCGCAAGCACTTAGGCTAGCTGGCAAGTCTGAAATAAAACCATTTCTGCTTTCTATTGTATTTTGATTATATATTCTCTACCACTTAGAAAATTCATTCTTGGGGAAAAGTAAGAGTTGGCAGGTATGTAATAAGTTGATCAACATTTCTTAAAAACTAAAACTGGTAGTTAAAATTTCTAAAAAAATCATTCGAAAACTATTTCTGCTTTTTATTGTAATTGGCTTGCCCATTGCTTTATCTTTCCAATACAAAAACATTTTCAATTACAAGTCATAATTATATGATTTCGGACTAACCACATAAACTGAAAATGTTGTATCATTTATTTAAATAACTCCAAAAAAGAAGTTTGAGTCCACTAAAGACGAACTGCCCATTTAAGCTGTTCACTCTAATCATTCGAAATAATATTAGTTAAATTAGTTCGGACAAGACTTCTAAAAACGATCACTACAACCGTGTTTTCACCATATATCCCAGATTCATTATAGAGGGGTTAGACTGTATTTCATTGACATACTTAAAAAATCACCTATGGAAATTGTTTTCAAACAAATTCCTTGTTGCACTATAGCCAATATAGGACCGTTTTTCCTCAACTGTCGTTTTTAAGCAACCTTTGCGTGTGTTTTAGAATGTATTTAGTTGAGTTCACCATCTCCTTCGGTTACAATTCGGCAGTTGTATGTTTAGAAACTATCGCTTATCAGACACCTTTCATCTACTATTAATAATGTAAACATCTTTAATTAATAGCAAGCATGTTTGTCAAGGTTGTCCAATATCTACGGGATGCTAAATTTTAAAAGACATTTGTGCCAATCATGATATATTAGCCCTTTGGATTCAAGGGCTAATTCTCACCGCCAACTATCAAATAACTTTTACTCTGAATGTTATTATGTTAATTTCTTTGTGCTTGGTAACCACTTTATTTAGTGGGCTCAGAGTAGTACGTATGCAAACATTGAGTTTTATCTTGTAAACCTTTTTCAGTGGTTGAGTCTATTTCTTTAAGCGTCGAAAGAGCTTCGAGCGGAAAAAGTTAATCGTACGGATATCTTTAATTAATTTACTTATAAAATGTTGAGTGTTTGGTAGGCAGAAAATTAAAGTGATAACTATAAAAAAAAATCTTAGTTTCTTCTAAAAAAATCTTCTAAATGCTATAAAGTAATCTTAAAAAAATTCCTGTTAACTAGTTTGCTTCCGATACTAAACTATTACAAACCTCGTAAGAGCTTCTTGGAGAAACAGGAGTCGTCAAAGTAAAGCATTCCCACAGCCCATTAAGGGCCAGGAAAGACAAGAAGGCTTAAGCTCCACAATCACCAAGAAGGTTAGGTCATCAACAGCACAAGCACAGTTGTCACAAGCAGGAATTTTTTTTAAGAACCAATGAAATAGAGAAAAAAATAGTTGTTTCATGTTACTTGAATCCATCAACAACAAAAAATATATAATGAAAGAAGACTTAGATAAGAAGAAAGAAGAAGGATGTAAAAGAAAAACTTGAAATTGCTCGTAGTTTTTCTCTGAAGCTACATGTCTACTTATTTCTGTAACTTTGAGGAAACTTAGCTACTTTTTTTTCCTCCAGATCATGGTAAACCTGGTTTAAACTTCTATCCATTACAACTTTTTTTGAAAGTCACCTATTTTTGAATGAATGTAATATTACATCGAAATGTGTAATTTATTAGAAATGTTTCATTACAGTCAAAAAAGGCGAAGAGTGATTCCCAAAAAAAGACTGCAAGACGAGCAACATCCAATGTCTTTGCTATGTTCGAACAAAATCAAATAGCCGAGTTCAAAGAGGTAATGGAGTCTTTAAGTTAATCACCTAATCCTCTTAACATTAATTTGAAACTAACATTTATTAGTATTTAAATATAAAAATTTTGCTTTTAAATTTAATATTCCAAAAAAAATCATTATTTTTAAACTTAAATTTCAGGCTTTCCAGATGATTGATTCCAATAAAGATGGTCTTATTGACAAAAATGATCTTAGAGCAACGTTTGACTCCTTAGGTATGTTATGTTATAGTTAGGTAAATTATGTTCAATTAGTTTAGACATGCCTTCTAGCTACTGCAAAACCTCCGTAGGTTCAGAAAATATTTATCCTAGAAGTAGAATTGAACAATAGGAATGGCACTCACGCTAAAAACTGTAACAAAAGGTTACAAATAAAAAGAATGAAAATCTATTAAAAAAATAAAAATTAGGGACTAGCAGATTGCCAAACAACTACGCTTTTTGAAAAAAAATGTTTTATGAGAGTTCTAGACAATTAAAAACTAAAGCTTTTGAAAACTTTACCCCAAAAGATTCGGATTGGTTCTTTGGAATTATATACATTTGTGCGCTCAATTTAGGCTTATAAACTTTTGTCAAATGGAAAGACAGATGGCACAATACAGAGATGGACAGCACAAAGGTACTTAAAGGGTAGTAGCGGGATTCGAACTCACTACCTCTACGCTTTGCACAGTGCTTGGAGGGTGATACCGCTCGACCAGGGAGCTGGAGCAAAGTAGCGGTTCATATAAGCTTTTGGATCATTTACGTGTAATGGTGTAGAAAAGAACTTCTAATCCAATTTACAAATATAAAGAATCATACAGTAGAATATAAACTTAGCTACAACTAGTGGAAATTTTCTCAAAAAGCGTAAGAAGTTGACAGTCTAATATGAACAGGAAAATCCGCGGTGGCTAAGGGGATAGAACGTTCACCTCCCAATGAGAAGACGAAATTTCTAATCCCAGCTGCAGCTAGTTGATACGAGTTCTGCTCCCGGCTCTCACCGACCACTGAGCTGAAGTAAAATATCCTCAGGGGTAGACGGATAATGTATTCGAATCCCCTAGCCTAGCTGTTGTGAAAATTGATAGTCGTAAACTTAGAATTGGACCAACTATTTAATGCCGAACTCTTAACTCTAAAAAAAATAATAATAAAAGTATCAAAAGTTCCTTTCTATTTGTCTACGACTTATGTGGTACAAAAATTTGTGGCAGGCAAGCCGTGTTGAGCTTTTTAAGAAGTTGACAAAATTAGCCAAAAATCTACCGATTTTAGTATGTAGAAATCTACCGTTTTTTAAATCCAAGTGGGGTTGTGGAATTATCATGATGAACAATTTAGAGCTGGCTCTGACTCTAAAAAAAATAATATAAGTGTCATATGCTCCATTCTATTTGTCTTCTGTGGCTTATATGATAGGCCCCTTTGTTGCAGGTAAGCCGCGCTTTAAAAAGTTGGCACAATTAACCAAAAATCTGCAGACTTTAGTTAGAAGAAATCTCCCGTTTTTTTAACTTCACGTAGAGTTGTGAGGATATCATTATGGACAGTTTAGAGTAGGATTTGACTCTAAAAAAAATAATAAAAGTATCATAAGTTCCATTCTATTTGTCTTCTGTGGCTTATATGATAGGCCCCTTTGTTGCAGGTAAGCCGTGTTGAGCGCTTAAAAAGTTGGCACAATTAACCAAAAATCTGCTGGCTTTAGTTAGAAGAAATCTCCCGTTTTTTAACTTCACGTAGAGTTGTAAGGATATCATTATGGACAATTTAGAGTAGGATTTGACTCTAAAAAAATGATAAAAGTATCATAAGTTTCATTCTATTTGTCTTGCTGGTGGGAAAGAATTTCAAACGGCAGTCGAATTAAAGGTGCGCCATAACTATTAGTTTAAGCCACAGCCAATAATTAACCTCAGACTATATATATTGGTTGCAGCCAATAGTTGATTTGTTGATGCAGAGCGTTCTTCCAGCTATAGTTTTTCGATGTAAAGAACTCCCCTAGCCGTTCGTCTGGAGAGGTGTCGGTGACTATGGTTACGAGGTTCAACTATTTCAAGTTGGGTCATAATTTAGGACAGATTTTGACTCAGGTCGACGAGGAAAGGGAATCGGGGAAGAAGGAAGCTCCTCTCTTTGAAATGCGCTATTTCTTGTTTCCATAGCAGCAGGCGGCCTTAGACTTCGTAGCGAGGGGAGTTCTTTCGATAGGCAAACTATACCTTCGTTAGCAATGTTCTATGCCCAAAAGCGTTTTTGTATCTCTGCTTATTATGATGCATAATCTATATCATTTTGATGCAGGAAGAATCGTGAGTGAAACTGACCTCAACAACATGATTGCCGAAGCTCCCGGACCAATTAACTTCACAATGTTCCTCACCATTTTCGGAGAAAGGATATCCGGTAAGCAGAAAATATTTCATTCTCAAAACACCTTCTTAATATTTTATTGCGATACGTGAAGTGAAACTGACTCTGAAATAGCCCGATTTTTTTCAATATTTTTTTTCCTTACTTCGTAAAAATTGACCAACTTTCTGACAAACCTTTTTTTTCACCTAAATTTACTTTCTGAAAATAACAAAGTGTTTGCGCATTTATTTATTTACTTATTTATTATTGTTATTGAAAAATCCCGAGTCATATCCACAAAGCAACTTATCAGAATAATAGATGTCATCGGCAGAGGCATACACATAAAAGAAGCATAAGTATACCTTAAGTTAGACATCGCCAAAGCTATCACAATCAAACTTTCTTAAGTAAAAATAATTCTTAATCCACTTACGTTCGTTATATCGAGTTCTATCGCTATGCAGTTCAATCGAAAAAATAACGATACCTGATCTGAATAAAAACATATTGTTTTAAACAAAACACCTTGATATAAATACAGACACCAATATTTACAAATCAGAGCAATAAGTAGTCATAAGTATTTGTTAATTTTGTAACAAAGCTCGGTTCGCAACAATAATATATTTTCAGTTTGCTTATTCCATCGTTCCGTCTTTCTTTTTCTCTTCCAAATGCAAACGATAACTTTGTCTTGAGAGCTAGCTTTAGTCACTAACTCTCTATTGTTACATGCAAGTAGAGCCCTTGAATTGGAAATCAAAATTTAAAAAAGTCAGATTTTTAAATTTCGTTTTTCCAGGAGATATTCAACCGATTTAGCTGAAACTTTGTATTTCGCCATGAGAAATCACATTTTTTAATATGATGTTAAAAATTGTACGTCTTAGAATTTAAAAATTTTTCAACTAAAATTAAATGGAATATTAAATAAAATAAAATTAATAAAATTAAATAAAATAGTAAATAAAATAGTATTAAAAATTATATCAAATAGTAAAAAAATAATAAAAAATAATGTTTAATCGAGGTTATTTTTGCATGGAAATCATCTTTGGATGAATGAATTTTATAATAGTGTGCAAAAATATTTAAATTCGTTTTGAAAGTTCTCGTGATAAGACGAAATACGAAAAAAAGAAAGTGACATTAAGTGGTCCAAACTTTAGACCGCTTTTCTGACCAAACAATTGAAACCATATTTCCTAGATCGCAGCTACTTTTTTCGGAGGGTCAGGAATCTGAATCTGTCGAGAGAAAAAATTTATGTTTATTCGGAGAAAGTACGTTTTTCTGATTGATTAATCAACTTAAAATATCGTTTGTACTAATTAATTAGCATATTTGAGATCTTCCCATCAACCATTTGATTTATCAATTCTTGTAGCTCTTTATTTTGGTGTTTTCTTTTTTTCTTATCAGCTGTATCAAATTATATATTTTTTATTCCGTTTCAGGAACGGATCAATGTTTAATTGATTTCACGTTTCCTAATTATTAAATATTTAGTTATTAAATAATTAAATTCGAATTCAGTTTTGAAATTCGATCTGAAATAGATAGTTAGTTTGTACTTTTTTTTATCAATGACTCTGAATCATTCTTTCTTCTCATTTTTTTACTTCTTTTTTTCTTGCGCTTCTTTATTTTGGTGTTTTTCTTTTTTTTCTCATTTAGCTGTATCAAATTACATTTATTTTATTCCGTTTCAGGGACGGATCAAGAGGAAGTCATTAAAAAGGCTTTCAATACTTTCGACCCTGATGGTGCTGGGAAGATATGCGAAAAGAAGTAAGAAACACAAAAAGAGTTTTTCATCTTCTTTATTTCTTTGATGTTGAGTCATTCTTTCGATCCACGTGGTTTTTCTAACACGCCAGACGCAAACAATCATTCAGGAATGAAGTGTACAATTTGTTCTGGGATTTTAGAACCTGTCGTTCGAGGTCAATTTCCCCTGTTGTCCCTATAGTCGTTCGTTCAACCGAAAGATATGATGATTCAGTAAATTCGAGAAAATAAAATCTATTTCTTTGAAACACAAAAGTCTTTTATTTGATCAATTTCATTCCTTAGAAACTTTTTTGTTAGCTAAGCTTCATTAGAACGATGAGGCACTCTTAAAGTATGATTAAACAATTTTTGTCCAAGTAAGAAGTTAGTCATTTGTCTTTATTCTTTTAGACATTTTATATAAGCTTAAGCAATAAATGTTTTAATTCACATAACGGATGTACAGCTCAGCTGTTTAGTTTTATAGTGACCAGCGAGAAAAACAACGGAACACGCTGCAGCATATTGTTAACCGATTACAAAATGTTTAACTTTAAGAATTTGCAACAATACTTCTATAAAATTATTATTCGATAAGAAATGTTTTCAATTTGACGCGCAAGCAATAATTTGACGCGCATCAAATCAAAGAACTTAAAAATGAAGATAATATCTAAATTATATTTCCTTTGTCTTTTAGACATTTAGTGTCGCATGTTGGGCATTTTATTCAGATGTACGGCTTAATAAAGCACAGTTCTTTAACTTTATAGTTTTCAGCGCAAAAGACTATAAAAGTTATAGTAACACATTGTTAACCAAATAAAAAGTGTAAAACATCATGAATTTTTAAAATTAATTGTAGGTTTTAATTAATATTTTATAAAAGTTTAATTAATCAAAGTGATAAAAGCTGTGTAAATTAGATTGGAAATATGTGAATGGAACTAAATAATTTAGAATAAAAGCAAAAGTAATATCGTGTTTTGAATGAATTTGTCTCATGAATGAAAATCCAAGTGAATGAAAATCCATATCTATTGTCATTTATTTTAAGTCAAGGCATGGAAGTTTTATTTAATTCAACAAAATTTAATTTAATTCAACGTTTCATTTAATTTAACCCAAAATGGAAGTGAATAGATTCTATTTGAAATATAAATAGTACTTCATCATTTTAAAATGTTTCCGGAAAAATAATCATTAAAAAAAAATTAAAAATTAGAAAGAAAAAAAATCATAATGTTTATTACAGAAGCAGACTCCGCTGTTCCCGATTGTGAAAACTTCGTTTTATAAAAGATTAAAAAGTGTTAGTCGATTTACATTAAACTAACGAAAGTATTAATTTACTTTAAAACTATCATAATATTTAAATTTTAGATCTCATTCTAATTTAAAAATAACCTTTTACTGACATCGTACTTAACAAGGATAGATAGATAAATAGATGGATACACAAAAATGTCACAATTCTTATACCACTTACTTATTTTTAAAAGTATTTTTAAAAAGATGCTGTAACCACTATTAACAATGCTACTCATTCAGAGATGCCAACTTGCTCAGCTTTGTAAAAACAATTTTTTAGTGGTAAAGAAATTTAAATTATTTCAAGTTTAATATTTTTCATTTTAAGTAGTTTTTCCATCACTACATATTGAAAATTCTATCTGTCTTATGAAATGCAACTTTGTTATAGTTTTATCGTGGTGCCACTTATAAAGAGCAAGCGTAATTAATCCCTATTCTACAAGTTGTACCATTCAATTCACTACCAATTTATTAAAAGTTTGCAGAAAGCAGTTGGCATCCCTGTTCATTTTGAATAAAGAGTAAAATTTCGGCAGTTAAGTAGCCGAAACCATTCAATCTTTTAAATGGATAAAAGATTTCCATACATTTTTTTGAAGGAAAAAGACCGAAAAAGTTTACAAAAACATACATTTTCAAGCTACTGCTAATAAAGAAACGAAGAATTATTTTTACGAGTAAACAATGATTCAAAATAAATCTAATGGATTTTAATAAATCATTTCCTTTTAAAGTTGTTTACTAAAAAAATTCTTCATTTACAACTATAGTTAAATTTGCTTAATTTATAGAAAAAGCTAGTATGATTTCTATATAATGATGCGAAAGCGTTTTAAGGAATTTCTATTTTTATCTTATCACTTTCCTTTACGTTTCAAAAAATGAAGTCATAATTGCAATTCAGTTTTCATTTTTGTGATTTCATTGAGTATTCATAGTACAGATAAGAAAGTTTGATTAATCTAAATATAATATCTGAATAATGGCATAATCTTTGTGTCATAGTTGATAAAGTTATTTTCGTTAGGAATTTCCCTGTACGTAAAGTGCTTTCGCTTCTTAAAAATAGTAAAAGTTGTTTACTTTAGAAATGATCGTCGAATGATAAAATAGACGAGTTATAGTTTTATTGGAGTTGTGAGTGCATCAAATAAACGGTGAAATATGTGTCATTATTGTTACATAATAACAAGAATTATCTCTTAAAATAACTTTATAGTGAGTCAGTATGGGGATGATCTGACTTTATATAGTTTTATGGTAGTTTGATTAAGGATTTTTATAAATGGAAATAAATTTAATTTTATGTATTTATTTGGTACTAAAAAAATCAAGAAGATTCTTTGCGGAAAGGTTTTATGATTGAAAAATTAAATAATGTGCAGTGTTTTAGTGATAATTTTTTCTCTCTTTTTTCCGAAACGAAATTAACCATGAAGGCGGGTAGAATTTAAAATTAACAAAGATAATTTTTGATCAACAAATAACAAATCATCTGAAATTATCAAAGTGAGTTTTGCTTTCGTTTTCTTTTTTTAATTTTATTGTAATCTCCGTAATTTTTCTAAATATTTCTGTTTACCTATTCATTTTTACTCTTGTTTTCTTAAAAACCTACTTACAGTTATTTATTAGTAAAACTTAAACACTGAAATGCTTTAAGCAATTTTATTTTATAACCGTCGTTGAACAGTCTACCCAATTTTAATTTTGCGGATCCAAGTAATTTGGAACACAATCCAGAAGACAAGGAAACTCCTGTATCAAGTATTGGGAGTAAATGTAATATTAATGTAATATTGTAGTAAATGTAACGAACTATTTTCGAGTGGTAAAAAATTGTATGCGTACTGCATGTAAATTGAGTTTTGAACTGGACGAAAAAAAAATCGAAAAATTTTTTTCAATTGAATTTATATAAAATCTATTTTGAATAATGTGATAGAAAGAAAAATAACTTACATAAAAAATAATTACATGCAGTCTTCATTTCAAATTTCACTAAAAAAAAAATTATATCATGTTTTAAAACAGATTTGGGTTTCATTAAGTGATATAGCAGAAACATTTAACTATGAAACGTGAATGCTCCTCATTTACATTTATGTTTTGTCTTTCAGATTAAAGAAAGCTCTCATCACGTGGGGAGAGAAACTGACATCATCTGAGGTAGAAGTAGATTTATGTTTTATATATATGTTACCGTTAAAGTGCATAATTCAGTTATTCCATAGAATAACTAGGTATTTTACGAAATAACTAGACAAGTCAGTTAAAGTATATAATGAATGAAAAATTTCATACTTTACCTAGTAAATTCTATGAAATAAATACATATGAACAATTTCAAAGTTACTTTTACAAATTAATTGATCATAAAAAGCTGAAATTTCTTAAAAAATACACTTTATTTCTTTTGCAACTGATTAATTGATAAATAATAAGGAAAAGCAACATAAGCTAAGATAAATGCACCATCTAAATTCTACGTTAACCCACTGGTGGTTAAGGAAATGGGCAAAACTGGGAGAATGTTTCTCCCCTATACACTATTCCTCTATCCATTAACATGGAAAAACCGGTTTTGCTACGCAGAGAAGACTACAGGTAACAATGCAACTTTTTACGTGCAGAAAGCAACGGTATGAAGCGTACTCTCACACACGTCATTGCAACGCAGCTGTAAGTGGTTCGTTCGAAACAGTCTAAAAGCGGCTAGAACCGGTTCAAAGAACTATCGAGTGCTTTATTTTATACTTTAGCAATCGTTATTCTATAGAAATAACCTAGTTAAATCGTAGAATTCAATAATTTTATATACTTTAACTGACTTTTGTCTAGTTATTTCATGAAATACCTAATTATTCTATGAAATAGCGGATTTCTCAATTTAACGGTAACATATATACGTATACTAATTTATATTGTAAAACACATTTATATTGTAAAGTGTCCTATTATGCAAGACCCGCGCTAAGCATTCGCCACATAATTGTAAATTCGGCGAAAAAAATTGTGTTTTGGCGAAAGTATTGGCGAATAATTTTTCTACACAAAAGAAAAATATATATTCCATATTCCCCTCGGTCTCAGGAAGTTAAAAAAAAAGAAAGTCAAATTGAACTTTTTTTTTAACCAATTCTTATTTACTTTACATTAGATACATCCCATAACGAATTAGAATAATTTTCTATACTTTAACTGACTTATCTAGTTTTTTCATGAAATACCTCATTATTCTAAGAAATAACTGCAATATCTGTACATATATTAAATTATATTGTAAAACACAAGTAGTGTAAAGCTTCGTATAATGCAGGGCCCGCGCTAAGTATTCGCCGCATGCGATAAAATTGTAAATACGGTGGAAAAAATTGTGTTTTGGCGAATTATTTTTCTACCGAAAAGAAAAATATATGTTCCCCTCGATCTCAAAAAAAAAAAAGTTAAAGTGAATTTTTTTAAACAAATTCTGTATTTTTTATTCGATTACAGTAATTTGCATTCGATCCGTCCCATAACGAATGAGAATTATATTAATTCCAAATAATGTAAGCAACAAATGAGTTTATATAAGCATGAGACAAATTACGGTAAAATACAGATCACCAGGTCCATTACCGAATCACGTGATATCGCGTGACGAAAATTTTTCCCTCTAATTTTTGTCATTAGAATAGATTAAGCAGTAGCAAGATCCATATTATCATCCAAATATTTTTTTTTCAGAAAATATGTTTTCCATGACAATAACACATACAATAACGTGACGATGACATAACGTCGCTTCTGGTTTATCCTTATATTTACTGCTCTAGTCTAAGAAGTTATCAAAAATTTACCCTAACCTATTCCTATTTCTTTCCCTCAAAGATGATAAAACATCTACATTTTTCATACTCTCTCTCCCATTCATTGCTCATTCACTCCGCCCCTAACTACAAAATTACTCTTAATTTGAATTTGCATTTTATAAAATAATTCAATCTTTAATATATTTTTATTTTTATTTGAAGTTTACTATGGGTAAAAAATAAATCATAAAATTTTTTATAACCGTCGTAGAACAGTGGACCAAATTAAGAGTTTACGACAACCGATATTCAACTCAATAGCCTTGTAATTTCGAACCCAATCCAGAAGACGGGGGAACTCCTGGGCCAAGTATAGGAAGAAATTTTTCCATCGTGGAGTATTTTTCGATGGAACTAACCCGCATTTGCGTTATATAGTAAGGAAAACCACGAAAAAAACCCCAATGGTTTACCCTCACGGTAAGGGGAATCTAGCCCATGATCCTCTAACCATGTTATTTCACGTCAGCACTGTGGTCGGTGTGAGCCGGGTGCGGAATTCGTATCAACCAGCCATAGCTTGGATTCGAACTCGGTTCATCTCACTGGGATCACTCTATTCCCATAGGCATCACGGCAATCATAAAAATTGTTAAGATTTGCTTTTGGCCAAGAATTTTGAAATTTGGCTAATACTTTTGATATTTGGCAAATAATTTGCCAAATATCAGAATCACATCCTTAGCACAAGCGCTGATTATGTACTGTATTAACAAAAATAAATAATCAATAAACTTATCGTACAAATCAATCCATCTTAGCCTGAGCAGGTAGTTTAAATAAACTATAACTCTTATAGGGTCTTAATGGGATACCTGCAAGTGTCGTAGTGTGGGTATCTTGATCCTGATTGGTTATTGAAACGTGGTATTTGCTTACGTTAGCAACTGTTCTTTCCATTCTATTTCGAGTAAGTGGTGCCCGTCAAGTACCAATTCTCTTAAATGATACATTCTATACTCTTACACAAAGATTCTTTCACTATATATTCCTTACTTAACACAAAGACAAGCATGAAGCTATGTAGAACATAAACTAATTATGCATCGAAGTTGCCAGGTACAGTAAACAAAAATATATCATGTCTACAATAAAATGCATAAGCAAGTAATAAATCTACGGCACTATATTTAATTAACATTCTAACTTATGTAGAGAAATTTAACTCAACTTTAACGCGTCATTTTGCTTATAAGCGATCAGTAGGCACTGACGCCATAGGTCACATGTGTGGGTATCTGTGATCTTCTTCTTCTCGAAGTACAAGTAACCAATTGTTGAGCCATTTAAATAAAATAAAATTGATAAAAACTGAGTTAATAAATTGCGTTGTTGTTGCTGTTGTTAATTTACGTCGCACTGGAGCTGCACAATGGGCTTTTGGCGACGGTCTGGGAAACATCCCGGAGGATGATCCGAAGACATGCCATCGCAATTTTGATCCTCTGCGGAGGGGATGGCACCCCCGCTTCGGTAGCCCGACGACCTGCGCGCGAAGTCGAGCACTTTACGGTAGAACAGTTTAACGAGGACCAATACCGCACACCCTCGGTCCCTACGCAGACTGATCCAAGTGGTCACCCACCCGCACACTGACCGCAGCCAGTGATGCTTGACTTTGGTGATCTGTTGGGAACCGTGTCTTAACGATCAGTCCACTGCGGGACATAAATTGTGTACATGTAATGTTGCTGTACACTACATATCTCTTTAATATGTTTTCAGGTGGATGAAGCTTTCAAAGAGGCTCCCATTGACAGGGATGGAATGATCGACATAGGATCCTATGTAAAAGTCATCTGTGGTACAGCAGTAGAAGAAGAGTAGGCGATACGAAAAATTTAATTTCAAAATTTCGGCAACTCATATACTGATTCTAATTTATTTGTGTTATCAGATTCACATTCACAATATAATGACATACCAGGAATTTAAACGTCTAAATTTAGGAACATGAATGTTTTAGTTGATCAGAATCCAAATAAAACTGCACCAACGAAAATAGTTAAAAGGCAAACCAGCGTATGATGCCTGCCCAAACCAACAGTGATAACCTAACTGTGCATTTCAGAGTAGCTTTGTATTAGAATACTGTACTTTTTATAATAGAAATAAAATAAAAATATGATACTCTGGTGTAACTTGAATGTACGCTTTATTTGATGTATGCCAACACCCCCTGGAAGAGAGAAAGCCTGCGCAAGGGTTAACTTCAACGAGAAATCCGATCGTTGTGACATCTTTCTCATTTGCCCCTCACTGCGCAGTTTGTGTTCGTTACGTCAGGCTGCTAAACTGATCCTTGCGGAGGCTTTTTTTTCTTCTAGGAAATGTGTAAGCTAACCATCGTGATTATTGACTTACCATCGAGAGAAAAACTGTCGAACCTGGTAGTAAAACCATTTCATTTCTAGCTTGTTTTCGAAAGAATTAGGAAATCCATGATAACCAAGATTTATTTCAGAAATAATCTATATATTGTTTAATAAGTCATAATAGAAACGGTGAAATAGTAGACAAGCAAGCCTACCCAAAACAAGCAAGATAAGAAATGGTTTTACTACGATTTTTTTCCTTCCATTTCTGGGTAAGGCTTCCTCCATAGGGCTGAGAGTCCATATATATCAAGACGCAGAAAAACAGAAACTGGTGCGAAAATTATTTCGCTTTAGATTGTTTGTGAAAAAAGTAAAGTATTCACAACTGCTAATACTTTTAACAGTTTTTACATATAGGTTGGATTGTTACTGATCTGTGAGACAGTAAATAGTGATGAACAATTTATGATTAAAAACAGCTTATATTTTAATTTATTTATATTACAATGATATATTATTTTTTGTATTATTTATTTATTTATATTATGCTTATGTGATTATAACAGCTCCTAAAAACCAGATACAAATGAAATGGTTTTACAAATATTTTTTTCCTGCTCTTTTCTGTCTTACTTTCATGCCTGTTCCAGCGAGGGTTGTTCTCGCGATGGTAAATCAATAGCAAATTGTCTTAATATAATATTATTCTTGAAAAAATAAAAAATTACGACGGTTCGTTTTTTGTAATTTGTGATTACATAGGTTATTTTAACTTTAATGCTTGTTACGTTCCAGACACTAGCATTAACTCTGTTTCTAATTTATCGTTACTTTCGTCTAACTGTACTCAGACCTGCCAACTTGTACCCTTTCCAAGGAAGAATATCCCAAGTGGTAATGAATGAATAATTGAAATACATTTGTAAATAAAATTAACTTTTCACAATTTTTTACAATCAATTTCGTTAAGGGATTATATAGAATAAGAGATTATTTTTATTTATTTATTTTTAACTGCAGATGCTGAACTCAGATTCATTTGACTTGGAAGATGCCGGAAGTGTTTCTCTTTAATGTTACCCGGTGGGAATCTTAATCACGGAGGCGAGCAGCATTACCCACGCCACACTGACACAGATACCCGTTAGGGTGAGCAACATTCACATATCACAGAATAACACCAAGAGAAACATTCATGCCCTGACCATCCGGAGTCAGGTACGCTACCCTCTCGGCCATCTGGGCGGCGTATGAGATTACATAAAAGATATTATATCAATAGAATATAAGATATTGATTTATTTACATTGAGAGTGGAGGAATAAATAATATTAAATTAAGTTTATGAACCAAACAATTCAAGAGAAATTTGTAAGTTTCATTGCCACTCTGAAAAGACAAATGAATTACTATAGACAATCCGTAGTTGTTGGCAGCTATGTGTCTGCACGTCAACTGAGTAGATAACGCCAGAGACTCCAACTATTTGAGAATGTTCCGAATTATTATTTTACTTCTGTGGTGGTGAACTACAGCAGAATTTTTAGAAACAAATAAAGCTTTTAAACTAAATTACCAAAACTTAAGCATCATGACGTCAGTTGCAGGTATCCATTCCCTTTTTTTAAAAAAAATATTTTAATTTTAATAGGATGCGCCCTTTAAAATGTTAAAAAAAACTAAAAAAATTAACAAGTTTTTTTTTTTTTTTTTTTTTTTTTTTTTTTTTAAAAAACGAGAAATTGGCATGATAAAACCGCTCAGTTTCAAAAATGTTATAATTTTCCATTGTCCTATTACTTCAATCTTCAGGTCATTAACCATTTGAAGGCTGAAGAATTTTCTCGGGTACTTATATGCTGCAAGTGCGAAATACGCATTTTTTTATTTTATTATTTATTTAAGGGAAACGATTAAAATAATTTTATAAACGGTAATATTTTGACGGCTTCTTTGTACTCAGACGATTGAACATCGGCAGAACTGTAACTGCAACACTCTATCAAAAATAAAAACGTTGATAGTCAATTTTTTGCTTAATAAAATATTAACTTTCCTAATTTCAAGTTTTAGAAGTAAATGTAATTACATAAATCATTAACTTGTTTTGAGGTCAAAATATTGTGTCTCGCCCAAAAATTCATAAAGAAAAAAATTTTTATTCCTCTATTTAAAAAAAAATAATTATCTATATTCTATAAGGTCACTGGCACAGAATCATTTGTTGATTCATTAACAACCACATCAAATTCAGTAAAAGATTTCAAATGAGATAAAAAGTAAAAACAAAAAATACACATTTCTTTTATTATTATCGATGTTTTTTAATATGAAACCAATTTCAAGTGTGCGACGAGTTAAAAAAATTAACTAATGAAAAATAAATAAATAAATAATCAAATTGGTTCCTTTCTCCCAATGTTAAGGCTATACATATTCTGGCCTGGCCTGTAAGCCCTTTGGACAAAAAAAGTTTTTTTTTTTAATTTTCTTTGCGTGTTTCTAGTTATAAGTGTATTTCGTAAAATATGAAGCCCATATTTTAATATGAAACCATTTTCAAATTTATCGGAACAAAATATTTATGTAAGTTCAACATCCACCTATACATTAATACTAAACGGGGTCTTGCCTTTCCTTAGTGTGTTTTTAACAAAATAAGATTTTTAAAAAAAAAGAATCCTTAAATACATTTAAATCTGTATGAGGGTTTTCCAAAAATATGATTATCATATTTTAATATTAAACGAATTACAAATAAATCAGGAATGGTTAAAAATCTACGGATTGTTAGCCCCAAGCTATGGAATGTGCGTGTTCTTGATTTTTATTTTTAGACTTATATGCGAATTTTTTGGAAAATATGTTTCCTATATTTCAATAAGAAACCATTTCAAACACAACATGCGTTGCAAAAGATAATCGGAATGTCCACCCTGGTGTTAGTTCAATATATGTTCGTGTTTTAGAATAAACTAGACGGTTCTTCAAATAGCCATGAATATTCCTAGACATTTAGTATATTCGTAAAACATGATGTCCATGTTTTCCTAATATGAAAGTAGTTTCAAATAAGTCATTGAATGCGAACATTTATAAAAATTTTTTTAAAAAAATTGCTTTATGTGATGTTACTGCTATTATCTAGACTTCGCATGTTTTGAACTAAATGGATTTTTAGGACTTCTACGGATAAAAAATTAAGCAATTAAATTATTGATGGTTAATTTAACGTAAACAATTACATGCTACCTAAAAACGGAGGAAATTTTGAAAATTTCGCTTATGTTATGTTTACAAGCAGATGTGTGATTGGGGCTTGATGTTCTAGGAAGTTTTATTTTTGTGATTTCTGTTTAAATTTACGAGATATTTTACTAACCATGAGAGTTTTCTCTAATTTATTCTAAAAGGTCGTCGTTAGCCGTTAAAAATTTTTTTGAGAAAATTAAAATCATAACATTTAAGAAAAAAAGTAAGGTATGCCATGTTTTTAATGTTATTCCCTATTTGTGCAACGAATATTAACATTTGCTATTTTTTTGGGTAACATCATAGCAAGTTTGCGGGTTCTTTCGAGCTCGTTTGTTGTTTGTTTCGTTGAGAGTTAAATTAGAATAACGCGTTATATTAAAAACACTCAGGGATGCAGTGAACATGTATTTTTGACTTAGGGAAAATTTTTATTTTGCTGAATGAAATTCCTAATGAGGCCGTATCAAAAACTAGCTACTGCAATTCTTTTACATATAATGAAGAAACATAAAAAGCAGAATTTTTTAAGCTTTCACTAGTAGGAGGAAAAAAACTGCAAAAAATTACATATTTACTGGGAATGCATTTTATAAAAATCCAATTTTTGCGAACATACCGAATGGCTAGACAAAATTTGCCACATAATGAAAATCCCGACCCCCCCCCCCTGAAAACACTAGAACTATAATAATATTGGATGACGCACTTTTTCAAACTTAGTCGTAAAAATAAATCGGAAGAAGTAGCCCGGAAGCATGTAAACTCTCTTTACACACATAGTATCCCCAAGAGATTTTGAGAGCGCTGATTGGCTTTCTCGGCTTTGCCTTCTGTTAAGTCTTCTTGTAGCTCCTCCTCAATAACATTTCTCCGTAGTTTGTTCCCAAAATGTAAATCATTCATAAATCAGTTCCAGTATATTTCTCATACTAATTTTAAAACAAATGTTAAAGTTTTGTTCAAAAAATTAAACAGCGTAATTAATTGTATTTTAATAATAACACATTTATTTAAATCGAATTTGCTTTAAATTTTATGCTAATATATTTTAACATTAATGTTATAAATTTTAGTTAAATGCAAGGTAAAAAATCATGTTTTGGTAAAACATCAAATTAGTATAATAAAAATTAATAATAATATTAGTATAATTATAATAATAATAATTATCATAAATTAGAGTTTTATTAGCTAGCTTTTATGTAATATATATATAATAATTGATTAATATTCAAATTGAGTAGCATTGTGAATATCCTTATGCACTTAGAAATTAAAAACTCTTACCTAAATTTATTAAGTATGATTGCAGAACCACTCAGTTAAGTTTGAATTTATTATATGAGATTTTAAAATGTATATAAAAACTTTTAAAATTATGTTTGATTACTTAAAAAAGATTTTATCATATCTTAGAGGAAAATATTCTAAAATGTTTAAAAAATTTAATTATAACTCAGCAAAAAAATTGTAAAAGTCTTTGAAAAATTTCTTTTACATTTCTCCTGTGGCACTTTCATAAACGCACTGTGGTGACAAAAAAATAATTTCCTGCAATTAAATAATAA